TGGTGTGTGTGTGTGTGTGTGTGTGTGTGTGTGTGTGTGTATGTGTGTGTGTGTGTGTAATGTCTCATCATCGTCATCATCATCATCATCATCATCATCATCATCAGCATTATCATCATGAATAATATCATCATTTTTACAACTGTCTGCCAACATGGTTTCTTTACCTTTTTCCGCACCTGTATACGGTCGCCATATATGAGCACCACTCTGTCCTTGCTCTCGTTCGAGGTAAGTTGATAGGACAAGCTCTACATGATTTTCAATAGATCGATCGGACAATTAACGCATCGATCGCGTTATTTGTCGCCAAATTTGTATATTTTGTTTTTTCATGTTTGTCGAAGTTTTCGTCGACATCGTCGTAGTCGTCGTTGTCATCGATGAAGGATTCGTCCACCATGTTCCAAGGACGATGATGAAGAGGGAAGGATGATGAGGCAGCGCCAATCGTTGTCGATGGGTCCAAACGGCGACGTCATGATCGTCGTCGTGTTGTCGTCGTCGTCGTCGTCATCGTCGTCGTCGTCGTCGTCGACGTCGTTGGGGGTCGATGATGGCACGGAAATGATGAAATAGAAGAATTTGATTGATTGACTTTATGGATTTCGCGCAACTGTGTGTGTCTTTACTTGTGTTGTTTGTGGATTTTTTTTTTTTTTGATAATTTTCTTAGATCGCGAACGATCGGCGAGTCGATACAGGTATACGTATTACTTTCGCTCTATATATATATGATATATATATATACATATATATCTCTCTCTTTTACTCTTCTACTTTCTCTTATTCAATTACTCGCCCGATTATTCATACATATCTGCCGCTTTTCTTTTTTCTCTTTCTCTCTGTCTCTCTCTTCCCTTGTATCTATTGGAGAGAGAAACGATATTTATATACAGAAATCTTTTCCCCTCACTTCGGTTACTCTAAATTGCATCTGCTTTACATTGATAGGCGAGCATATCTCAGCTCTCGTTCGCAAAGCTCCGAATTTCTAGCGCGTATTTACTTGTCGCCGACGCATCCTCTGATGCATCTCTCGACTTTTACTGCAATGCTCATGCGTCATTTAGCACGGCGATATCACATTTTTTTCGCTTATTACTTTTGCTCTTTTATTTTTTTCTATTTTTTTTTCTGTTCGGTCCGGTTCAGTTTTAAATGTTGTTTACAGTGCGCAAGGGGATTTTTCAGAATGAGGCCTCGACGAGGTAAGTGCCATCCATGGCGACCCCCGTCTGCCCACCCTGGGCCCCGGACACTTCGGCCCTTGTAGCTGGGATGTATTGACTGTACGCCTGCTGAAATCCACAACCACAAGCACACACTACATTGTTGCACGCTAGGTACGCCTATGCTAATGCTTTCTACGAACTTCTCCTAAACTTCCATCTACTTTCGCGATCGATGTGTGTGTGTGTGTGTGTGTGTGTGTGTGTGTGTGTGTGTGTGTGTGTGTGTGTGTGTGTGTGTGTGTGTGTGTGTGTGGATGCATGTAGAAATGAAACTTTAATAGATATCTATCGCATCATGTTCTTTCCTATGCCTCTGTTATTTCACTGCACCGAAGCCTTTCATTTTTTTCTTTAGTAAAAATGCAATTAGGGAATCTTTAGTGCTGATCTGATTTGTAATGTAATTATAAGCTTTATATATTATGTCTCGAAATTGTTTATTCTAATTTTTATTTCTTAGTAAGATATACTTTCAATTTAGATTTTATAATTAGCAGCAGATAGTTGCAAGCATATTATTAAAAGCTTATTTGTACTTGAAAGGGAAAATAAGCTTTTACGCATAATGCATTTTTATATTTATATTAAGAATGATATCGAAAAATTTATTTTTTTTTATTCACTGCAAATTTTGCTTCCCAATTTCTATTTGCTAATCCCTAATAATCAATATAAAGCATAATTTTTATATACTAAATTATAGTTTAATAAATCACGGAATATATCGTACCAACTTGAACACGTAAGCAGTAATTTTTTAATATTTCACGATCCACTCGTTTCCCTCGTTCAACCTTTCGACGCGCGTAATAAAATCCGGTTTCAGCGATTTTCGAAGAGATATATGTCATATTCTCGACCGTGAAAATCGATGGGCTTCATGGCGTTTCGATTGATCCAATAACCCCGGGAAAGCCTGCAAATTGACGAAGTGACGCGCATACCGCGCGCATCACCGACGAAAACGAATTAACTCGCAAACGTCGATGCATCATCCCCCCTCCCTCCCCTCTCTTATCTCCCCTCCCCCGTGTCCTTTGGACGAGTCAAACAATTCGAATTCGAGTCCGAATGCACGCCGCGGAAAGAGCGCGAGCGACGATTTCGCATTCAAGCGCATCGCGAGTGTTTTCCACGAATCTGCAAAGCGGAAAACTAATGAGCGCCTGGAGGCAACGCGATTTTCGGCGCAATTATTTTCCATCAAATTGTTCTTGCTGTCGCAATAACGGGTGTTCCAGAGAGTAAGAGTCGCATGTTTCCTCGAATACTCGAGCGATTAGGTCTCATTACTAAATTCGAAACTGGCTATAGGAAATTATAAGAGAGAGATTAATTAATAATTACGTACATGTAAATTGATGTGGACACTTATACAAAATGCTGCGGAAATAAAAAAGTGCACGTTTCGAACAATACACTCTGTGCTGCCAACGACGAAAGTATATAAAATAATCGGAACAGATCAAATAGATAGAAATAAAGTCGGAAGTTAAAGAAGAACGATTTGTATATTGTTAATTCTTACCTTACAATAGGAAGAAACACTTTTTATGGAACGTTTCACAAATATATCGATATGTTTATGATATAAATTATATAAACAATAGTGTTAGATATATGTACATGTGAGTGGTCGTTTCATCCGAATGCAGTTTCAATCAGCTGCATCGAGATTAATTAATCACGCTTGAAAAAGAAACAATCAAATGTGCAAATCACGATGCACATTAGCAATTATTTTTCAAATGCATTACATTTTGGGAATAATTTTCAAAATTCACGAAATTATTGTATGTTTTTAGAAGCAAGTAACAACGAGAACTGGGAACATGAATATTGAACATATGAACAGATACAAAGGAACAAATTTACACTGGAAAATACGATGTTAGAAACAAAGCCGTCGCGCTCGTAAAAAGTAGAAATCACAAAGATGCGAGAAAAATAATACAACTTGATTCAACATCAAATCCAATGTCAATAATAAGAAAAAAAATTCGTAGTATTGTAATTATTAAATTTTGTATCGCGAGAACGTTTAGAAAATGCTAAAAATTCGCGTTTTGCGATTTTTTCGTGATCAATTGGGGGAGTGCTAGCTACCTGTAGTGTTTACAGCCAATCATCGTACCTGTTGGACGCCAATTAATCAATGTGAATTGACGGCGAAATCATAACTTGAATGAATGCGACGAAGAATCTTTGCAAGTTATTAACGAAGAGGAAAGCGCTCGATTTCAACATCGATTAATCATACGGCCGGCTGTAATCGACGCGACTCGACAGGATAACGAATAATACGTAATTAATCTTGCTCACTATGACGGGATAAGATTTCAGGCCGGAAAGAAGCGGTTGATATAGAGTATATACATATACAGTTATATACAAGGCGATTATACAGAACGTCACAAGATATTAGCCGAGCGAGAAAATAATCACTTTTTGCAAAGAAACAAGCTAAGGTTATAATATATGTAACAAAATAATAATCCTTTAAATAATAAACAGCAAAAAGTGAACAAGAACAATTCTAAATTTTTAACATTTGTATGCAAAAATGATTAAATTCGAAAAAATTACTGGTAAAAACATAATCGTAAGCGCCACAAAAAGATTTCTATATTGATAAAAGAGGAAAAGTGTTTGTCTAAAAATGTTTGCAACTTGACGACGACGATCTGTACAATCGGGATATTACGCCTGATGCATCCAATATACTTGTAACTAGAAATACATCAGAATATAGAAGAGGAGAGAAATGTAACGCGCATATAGATACGACGTTTGACGTTTATGCGAAGTAATAGCAATTTTGCGATTGGACATGCAATTACGGTCAGAGATATTTGGTACAATATATATATATATATATACAAGCTAACGACTGCTCACACGACAACGTGAGTAAATTCAGGATGTAATCATACATTATGCGTTTACATGTGTTGCACATAAATTAAGTGACATGTAATTGGTACGTTGGGGAAGAAATTCGGCATGCTCGAGCGAGTATTTTCATCCGAGCGGATTTAACAACGCTCTTCGTCGCGCCCCGACGTATAATTTCGACGCAACTCCAAATAATAGGAGAGCACTTAAATTAATTAATCTCGTGACAGGTGCCAATCATAACGGAGTCATTTTTATCAGAATAAGTCAGTATAAGTTATAAAATCATTTGACTGATAATGCCAAAGTGATTTATAGCGATGAGTACTTTAATTTTATTTTGTACAGAATATTCTGATTTATAAGATTATTAATATATCAATTAATATTGATTTAACTTTTAAAATATTTTCACAATTTTTTACTCATAATTATTTCATTCTAAAAACTTCTATATTTCGTAATTTAAATTGCTTTATTCTTAAATCTAGACAAATTAATTAAAGTTTTTTGCTATTTATAAATTTTTATTTATTTTATTAATTTTCGATATTTTCAAGATTTAGCATCTCTGAAATTTTTATCATAAGTATATGTATATTAGACTAGTCTATAATAGATTTAACATATTTCAGACACATCACATTATCATGTTATCAAAGAAAATAGAAAGTCACTTTTAGATTAAAATCATCTTAATTGGCAAATTAAAATATTCGATCGAAGTAGATATCGAGTTATAAATACTCGATCGAGCATGCTAGGCTCTTTAGTCACATAGTTAACAATTAATAGTAATAGAGTCTGCCGGGAACGAAGATAAAAAAAGGCGCTGCTCGTTACTGGGTCGACGACGAGTAGTGGATCGACGGAGCTTTTTAGAACGTACACTTAAGATTCAATTTTGTCTTGCCTGGCTGATCTGAAGTGGGTGCTCCACTACAGGCTCCCGCTGTTCCTTCGGCTATGCATTATTCATAAAAGCAACTCGTGTTACATTATAGTGTGCATAATGCGCCGGTTAATCCGACGCGACGTCATCGCCGACGTCCGCGAGTCCTGATGACTTTTTGAACGGAACGGAAGTAGAAAATTATAAATATTAATGCGCGGACCAC